AATTTCCAATCATCGAATAAAAATGGCTTTCGTTGTGCTATGCCTAACGTTGACAATGCTGCTGTGCGCTCATCTGTTATGGAAATGCAGCTATTGGCAACGGCATGGGGTGCGTGGGCCGCGCGGTTTACCAATTTTGGGAAATATGTGGGAATTTTTTCTCGGTCGCAGGCATTACGGTGATGTTTATAAAAATATTTATGAGTTAGTATTGTAAAGGAGAAAGAGAAATAATTTTTTAGCGCATTTAAAATGTTTTTTTTTTTTCCTTCAACCAAGTGCACATCCACACCTGCCTTACATTGGCATATATCGGCTTTTTAATGAGCCGGCGGTATTAGTTCGCAGCCAAGAGATGACTAAAGAAGTGATGATACGCTCCTTTCAGCATTTTCAAGATAATGTCCTGTGGGTAGATGAAAAACGTGATCCAATCGTGTGCTATAATCCATTCATTGCCAAAGGCGTGCAGTGGAAACAAATGCGTGCGGAAATTTTGCCTATTTTTACACCAAATAAGGTGAGTGAGTGGTGGAGTTTTTTGCATATTAAAGCTAGCAACATAGTAAAAATTGCATTGTTCCGCAAGTGGCTGACATAAAAAAAATTAGCACAAGAGTGGGTAGAGCCCTTGTGCCTTCTTTGATACAATAAACAGTTTAAAAAAAAAAAGAATGCTGAGATTGCCTGGTTTTAATCATCAAAGCGTTGAACTCAGCATAAAAAAATACTTTGTAGAGACTCTGATGAAAACAAAAGGAATGTGTTGCTTTGTTAAACCCTTTCAGTAAACAAGGAAACATATTTCCCAAAAGCTCTGTTTTCATCTTAATTTTTTTTTGTATGTTTGTTATAATTACTTCAAAACAGAAATGCCTAAAAACTACAATACTTAACCCAATTTTGAAAACGCTACCTTTTAGGAAAAATATCTATATTTTTTAAAATAATACAACCATATATTCTATATTCCTATGAAATACCAAAAATAATCTACCAAAAGTTGAAAATTAACAAATAATAAAATATTTTTTTGTAGTAACAAGTTTTATAATTGCCTCATTTATATTTTTATAATATATAAGATAAAAATATTTTGAGCTAAAATACTTTATATATTTTTACATTGGAATTTGCCTTTTCGTCAGACTTTTTTTATGTAGCCCTTGATGGATCACAATGCACAATTTACACATATCTTAGTTTTTTAAGTATATGTATATAGTCCTGAAATGGGTAAGAGATACTGGCCAAAACGCTTTAAAACAATATCATATTATTATTTTTTTTTTGAACTTATAACTCAAAGAAATGCAGCAAACTCATTTCTATGCTGATTATTTGGGAGACGCACTTTCTTTATTTTTCAGACCTTAAATTCTGCCTTTCGATTTATTAAATTTCTTTAGCTTAATAAATTTTATACGTTATCTCAAGGATTCTTTTTAAAAGCTATTGAATTTAAAATAAATATACAAAGGAGCAGGGAAATTGAAACTGTTTATTGCGTGTTCTACATGTATGTACATCGGGTGATGACAAAAAAAAAAAAATAAAATAATGCCGGTATTCAGTAAGCAGTACATATATAGTCACTAATAAGACTTTTCGTGGTGAACATCGGTTTTGGCACTATTTGATATTTATTCAGTGAGCTGCCTCACATTTTTAGTCTGAAAAATGTCCCTATATTCTGAGGTGGCTTTGACCAGGTCTCGAAAATAAAAATATGGAGTTCAGATAATTGAAGCTAGGTAATATTTGTTTAAATACTTAAATATCATAAAAATTAAATGAAAGCAAAATAAAATTGAATTGCAAAATAATATTAATGTAAGCATTAAGAGAGAGTTTTATTTGAATAATTAAAACAACAATAATAAAAATGACACGCTACTACTATGCTCACTCGACTGCAACTGCGACTGTTGGAGAAGCGCGCATTTAGAACCAGCTACATACTTATCAGCTGACTGTCTCTGTTTTGTTTCCCCCACATATTTTTGCTGAACTTTTTGCAACTTGCTTTTACAGCAAACACAAACCATCCCAATGCACAATAAGTAGTTTTTAAGCAAGAAACAACCGACTTCAATGTTCATATACAGATTTGGAAGTACCGTTAGTTTCTTAATGATCCAAGATCGGATCTAAACTAAATGAGTATGGAACCACCCACAGTATTTCTGATAAAAAACGATATCAAAAACCGTTCACGAATTGATAACCTCCTCCTTTTTCTGAAGCCGGTTAAAAAGAGTCACTAATTTATATTCTCAAATTTAGTGACTTGAGATGAGACTGACTTACTGAATATTTGCATAGATTAAGTTCTTGCTGTTAAGATATTACTGTTAATGGGACTTTCGTTTTTACGCCAGCTGGTGGAAGCTGGTGGAATGCACATCTTTAACATAATTAAAGTAGATGTTGTACGGCAAATGGCCCGTTGCCAGTCACGTAGCGTAATTCGCTGTGGATGCCGGATTTGAATGAACGTTGCACAGAGTTTAAATTCATTTTACGATTGCAAATTTGTATGCGTTTCTTTAATTCAGCGCTGTAAAGTTGGGAAGTGTAGTAAATTTTAGTTCAAATCATTTGAATGGACCAGTACTTTTTAGTTCAGTAGAAATGATTAATTATTTTTTTCATGGTTTTGGTGTGATGGGTAAGCGGGAAAGGTATGGCCCCCTCAACCCCGTTCTATAGAAATTGGAAATTATTTAAAAATAGGAAAAGGTTATCATCTACAGAGAATAAACGAACGAACAGTATTAGCAATATAGTCAAAACAAAAAAAAAAAAAACGAAAAAAAATTTCCTTTCTTTATGGCGTTTCGCCCATAGCCCGCCAGAACCGCGTCCAAGATTCAC